AATGACTTAGCTGTTCATTGAGCAACTTTTCTGCTAAAACTTTTACATGCCCGTACCTGAGAATCATGCATACCTGGGGGCTGAATTTGAAATCTTTAAGTTGTGCTTGGGAAGGGAGCATTCCCCTAAAATTTCAACTTTCCAGCTTTTCTGGTTCCCAACTTCGCAGTTTTCCCTTTAGAACGTCCACGCGCCCGTACGTAATAATCACGCACCTCCGGAGGCTGAATTCGAAATCTGTAAGTTGTACGTAAACAGGAAACATCCCCTTGAAACTTCAGTTGTCCATTTTATTTGGTTTCCTAGATCGCTTTCCTGTCAAAAAATTCGCATATTTTTTTTGGACGACTATATGTGGGGGCCCAGGCGTACGCGAATGGTAATTAGTAAAATGAGAGAGTGGCACAGTGGGTGGGGACATACTACCGAAGCTTCAGCTTTCTAGTTCTCGAGTTGAAAGTGAGTGATAAAAGTCGCAAATACGCACACACATAGAAAGCCTCTCGCAAGTATGCGTGTTTGCTTACTGTGCAACATTGTAGCGCTGCATAGCAAAAACGCATTAAAACTGAAGAAATGCTGAGACGCGGTCTTGGTTGACACACGCTCTGGTGCAATGTCTGTGTATTTTCTGGACGGCGCCTTCTTAACCGTGGTTGGTAATTTAGCCAGAGCTTTCACGTCGTTGCGAACGTTAAGTGATGAATTTGAATTCAGAACTCGGGAGATGTCAAGGAGATGTGGGACTAGTTATCATTCGACGAATTGTTTAAAAAGTCCTCTCTATTCTGAATAAAACTGTATAAATTTTATATGAGCTGCTCACTTCGTTGTGAAGTTAAATTATGACCGCCTGCACAGTCGTTTTGAAGGCTCAATGCAAACAGTATTTGCTGAGCTGCATATCTGCAGTCAGTGGCCACTGCCTTCATCTAAGCAGTCGTTTACTTTCTTGCGGATGCCAAAAAAGTAAACGACCTCTTAGATGAAGGCAATGGCTACTGACTGCAGATATGCAGCTAACTGACTGATGCGAGACGCGACAACAGCGTATCCTGCCCTTCCGATTTTATTGTCTTGTTCGTGCACACCGCTTATCAAACGGAGAGTGCGACAACTAGCGACACACTAGATTTACGAGTGCAGTCGCATGCGTTTTTACGCTGGAATTAGGCAATTATAACTTCAACGGTATAAATGCTTGCTGCTTTACAAATTAATGCGTGAACGTATGTTCAGTGTATTTTGACTTTTTCTTGCATGCAGGGGAAAAAGGCATCGTCGGGAGTGAGAGTGTAGTATTCTGGACCTTGAAATCTCAAAATTCACTAGTCATGATTGCTGTATATCTTCTGTGATGGGTATCTTTCATGTTGCGTACGGTGAACAATGAAAATCCACAAGATGCACTCGCTTTTGAGGTTGCTGTGTGTCATGTCCGTGCGCAGTGAATTTAGCCTTTAAGTTGAGTTTAGACTGCACTTGCATCTTTGACATGCCTTAAGGCGTGGCGCGAGTGCAGATAGTCGAAACTTGGTTTAGACAATATTTTCCTGATAGACGCAAAAATTCTGGCGAAGTTACAGTTACTGTCTTCCGACTAATCTTCGAGTTTGCGCAGTGCCAACTCGCGAAATTTGACATGACCGTACGCATGGCATAAGTATGCACAACTAAATTTGAAATTTTCAGCTCATATTTGACAGAGAATATTCCTGAAAAGTCCCAGCTTCTTTTATTCATATTTTCTCGAGACTGTTTCCACGTCAAAATTTTACATATTTTTTTATATTTCATCGTGCATGGATAGCTTCTTTCACTTTAAAGGGCCCGTGCGAGAATTCAAGTCGCGCGTGGATGGAGAATTTTAAACGGGAGGACGACGCGTGAAATGGAAATATGCTTCTAGAAGTTCAGTTTTTTCCAGTTTTTTCTGTTTTCGAATGATTATACGTACAGGCATACTTTCGGCAATATGCATTTTTGCATTTGCATTAAATGCATATGCGCATGAAAAGCAATGTAAAATAATTTATAACACACTGGCGCCATATCCTTCGTGCTTGGACAGGTTCTCGCATCACAACAACAAAAGCTAGAGGAGATTAGCAGCGGTTATGGAGAGATACATTTTCTGTGTTGTGAACTGCAACGAAACTGCTCCTGTGGAGACTGTTGCATTTATAGCCCAATTTTCTCACTAATGAGCTGGCTCAAGAAGGGAAAAGTAAGGAAGTTCTGGTGATACTACGGTGAAGTGTTCTTGCCTTTCTGAACTGGGGTGCAGTGATAAGTGGTAATTGCTGCTCTTTATCGATAATTTTAAAGGCGGTCAGCTAAATTTAGAAGGTTGGTTTACAAAAGCGGAGCA